GCCGAGCCTCAGACCTCGGGGCGAGCGCGGCGTGGCGCAGGTAACCGACTCTCGGCCTCCTCGGCCCTCGCCCTGGCCCTGGCCCCTGGGCCGCACGTGTTCGGAGCTGACCTAGCCAGACAGAGGGATGGGGACCCCCACAGGCTGGCGGCCCTGCGGAGGGTGGGCTTGACCTAGGCAGGGGCGAGGACGGACCTGGGAGAGTCCAGAGCAATGATTCAGATGCTGATTGTGTGGCCTTGGACAAGTCACAGCTTGTCCGCGCCTCACATTCCCTACAAAATCATTTTATTCAGCTGAATATTTTGCTCTGGTTTCGTCCACTGTCCCTGCCTCACCCACAGTTCCATTTTCTCTTAAATTATTTTGATGTGGAAGTGATGTGAGCCCCAAAGTCTTTCTTCTCCTTTACCAATGCCCTTTAACCCTCCCCAGTCCTCTTTGCTACAGTGCTATTTCATTGACTTTTATGCAGCAATTTGGAAGAGCTGAAGTTCTTTTCAATACTTAGTTCATTTATCCTCATAGATTATTTTTTTTAACTAAAACTTTGTGACTGGGACAAGCTTTTCTTTTTTAAAAAATCTCAAGCAAGTACTAACATCAACATCTTGTCAAGAAATGAGCCAGTGCTTACAAAAGCATGGATGAATTGTAAGATTTCTATTTTACAGCAATTCTAGATTTTTTTTTTTTAGCCTAAATTTTATAATACAGCAATCATGGGCCAAAGAAAGAATGTACTCAAACTAGGGGATCTACCAGTCTGGAAAGTTTGATAAGACCTGCTGGAACTCCTCCTGAATAAGGAATTCTATTTTATGCATCTTCCTGTACCAAGCACTTTGCAAAGTACCTGATTCCAAACTGTTGTTCAGTAGTAAACAGAACATATCTTTTAATCAGTAACACATTTCAACTTATCACCAAGCCAATATCATAAATGTATGAGGACGGACACTCAAGCCAAGTTTCTGCATTGTGCAGAGCCCAGAGCTGCCACTCAGAAAAACTCATACTAACCTGTTTGCCAGTAACACATTTTTTATGTCTTATAGGTTTATAAATCTAATCATTTTAGGAATCAAGATCATTTTTCCTCTAACAGATTAAATATCAAGAAATGTAAACTAGATGTAGCAGTTTCTTGACATGGAGAACCAGGCCCATAATACAATGGGGTAAGTGCTGAGAAATTTCTTTTTTATTCGTTGATATTTAATTATTTGGAAAAACTCCCTGAAGAAATGTAAATTTTGAAATTTATTATTAATAGAAGAATGTTCCAATTATTTTTGGTAAGAAGGCTAGGAGAAAATATCAGATGACTAATTAAAAACCTATTAGTGTATTTCCAATTTCTGTTCTGTGTGTCTGCCCTAGTTTCTAGGTTCTAATGACTGTGCAGTGTCTGAGAGTGCTGGTACCCAGGCTGGCCTATGCAGCAACTCCTGGACAGCTTGTGCCTTTTTTATTCCCTGCAATGAGGATCCCAGTTTTTCCTTGGCTCTTACCTTTAAGACTTGATCTTACTTACTTAACATGTTAAACACAGCCTCAAAATATTTTACTGAGATATTTATGAAGCGATAAAGAATAGAACTAGTATGACATTCACTATTATAGGCAATCCACTTCCTTTTCACAAACGTCTGTCCTCGCCTCTTCCACAAAGATTTCTCTTCCTATTGTTTCAGTAACCAACTGGCCACTGGCTGACCTCGTAGCTTGGGAGACAAGGGATGTAGAGGTAGTTCTAGACTGCCCAGTCTTGTTTGTGACTGTTTCTGGCACTGATCACACCACTCTAGGTGTCTTACTATCAGAGGAGATTCTGCTCAGACCATGACATTGATATCAGATTAAAAGAAAACTTCAGAAGTCTGGATAATAACTGTCACTTCTTTAGCCCCTCCTTTCAAGAACCCTGCTGGATATCATTCTCATTGTATAACAAGAAAACTGCCTGTAGTATAGTATGATCTAAGCTTTTGTGACAGAGAACCCAAAAGAATGGCTTAAATAAGATTAAAAGTTTATTTCTAGTCTAAAGATTGAGCAGACCAGGACTGGTAGGGTATCTCTGCTAGCCTCACTACATGATTTCCATCTCTAGACACAAAGTGATTGCTTATCATGGCTGTGCTCCTTCAGTCATGACTGTCCTGTTCACAGAAGGAAAGGTAAGGGTGAGAGTAGTAAGACAAGACCTCTCCCTTTAGGAATGTGACATGGAAGTGGCTGGCTTCACTTCTGTTCACTGTCCACTGATGGAACACAGCCCCAGCTGACTACAAGAAAGGCTAAGAAAGGTGGTTTCTGACAGGGAAACCCTATGTACACTTAAAGCTTAAGAAGTTCTTTAATATTGACTTATCATTGACTTCATGATAGTGTAAAAGTGATACATCTCAGAAGCCATGTCTCATATTTTGAATCTGATTTTTTTTTCACCCTGGCTAATAATACCTGGTATTTCTTTTTGATGGTGCTGGACATTGACAACAAACCCAAGCTTCCAGTTAGCCACGTGACATGATGGTAGACAACTGATCATCCACAGTGTACCATGTTGCTAAGCTACGATGTTCAGTAGATTAAAGGTATTGATGTATTTTCAGTTTCAGATATTTTTCAACTTATCCAGATGTAACTCCACTATAAAATGAGGAGCATCTGTAAAGGGGCAAGTCGCCACATTGAGAAATTTGGAAGGAAAACGGAAATTTACCCCCTACGCTAGCATACACAACTGGTTAGTACAGGAAGTGTAATTTGAATTTAGATGGGTCTGACTCTAATCCCTGCATTACTTCCTGCACTGTAAATGAATAGCAATGAGATATAAAGAGCAGGCTGCCTAGTATCCATAGCAGAGGCAATTTAATATTCTGGCTTGAGCGTGTGCTGGGTTGCTGGTATAATAATCATACTCAGCTCTAAGATACTAATCAAAGGCCTCAAAGGTAAGGTTAGGTACCAGATCAATTCACTCCTAAAAATCTGATGCCATGACTATTTCTCTCCATTTATTCTTTTTTAAAAATTTATTGAGTACAGAACAGGTAACAGGTATAATATTAAGCCCTACAGTTCATACAAAGATAATTTAGAATTTGGTAGCGAACTGTGGAGCTTGTTTGGATGCAAAATAATTATAAACTAGAAATTAATGAGAATTTCTGTACATTTCCATTTCCACACATCATGACAGATGTAAAACCTGAGATTATTTACCATAATCTCTAGAACATAAGGATCTGTATTTTCCATGATATTGAGCAATAAGTGAAAGTCTGGGTTCATGAAGCATAAAACCTCATTAGGGACTTGTCATGTAGCTTATGAAATCAGTTTACCTTTGTACCCACTAATGTTTTGTGGATCGGCCTTCATTCAATACATATTTAGCATCTGCCATGAGCTGCACATAAAGCAATAGAAACATAAATAATGTATCATATGCTGATATTAAAGAAACTATGTGTATGTAGTATAAAAGTTATTTGGTTTTGTATCATCATTACCAAAAACCAATTTCCTGTTCTCTTCTTCCCTCCCAGTTATTCACTTCTAGAAGTAACTACTTTCTGCTGATTCGCCAGCCCCCACCTTGGTGTTTACCGACATATCTCTAAATAGCATGTTTTTATTGATACTTCTTAAGTTTTTCAGTTTCAGGCAATATCTGGTGATTACTAAAATGGATATCTCCCTCCACAGTCACACTTCTCCCTCCTCCATCCTCCCAATACATTATAATTTCAGTAGGATCGGTGTTCTCATTGCCTTGTTATGCCTTTGTAAGGATTATTCCCCTCTGAGTCCTGTAATGTGTTGTGATTATTTTCTTCCAGGACAATATTTTTTCTGTAGTTGATAACCCTGGTATCATAATTATAAATTATTTTCAAATTTTTTCTGCACAATTTTCTTCAAAAAATGCATTTCTGTTTATATTTGAGTTCCTTCTCTATCATGTGAGCTACTTGCCTCAAACTTCTAGGGTGCCTGACTGCTTGTTCCTATGTAAGAGTAATGGAGAAGAAAGCTGTTGGAAAGTTTGTGTGCACAAGGAGGGGCTTACTGACAGTAGTCTTCACTGAATGGTCATTTGGGCTAAGCTGTTTCCTTTCAGGACTCCATGTCACTTTCAGCCGATCATCTGTCTCAGGTGGACCCTATTCCAGAGAGCCTTCTTCTAATCCCCTATAAATTTCGGTTGCTCAAACTCTGAGAGCTGAGAAGAGGGAGAAGACTTGCACTGAATGACTTTAATTAAATGTCCCAGTCTCAGCATAGTGGCCCTACCCTCACTGTGCCTGATGTTCTCCTGGTTCAAAGCCTTTCTCTTTTATCTTCTGCCAGAAAATGTGCCTTGAGGTCAATGTCAATAAGAGGATTGGAAGTCCAACCTCCTCTTAGCCATTCTTCCTGATTTCATGCAACCCTCTACTTTCAAAGTACCTCATTGAGTTGCTTCTTCACTTTCTCCACTAGCTTCCATTATTTCTGTCCTTATAGACTTAACCTTATCAGTTAAAAGTAGCTCATTACATTACTTTAGTAGGACTCAGAAAGGTAGTATAATGTGTGTTCATCCATCTTTAACCAAAAGTCTCATTTTTCTCTACTGAATCTTTTATTATACTTTTTATGTGACTTATACCTTAGACATTGATCTCTTTCATAGAATCTTGTCAAATGCTTCCTAAAAATCTAAATTCTGCTGCATGATCCACCAAATTCTTATCTACTATGAAAGTTGTATTTTCAAGAAACAAGGTAGATGAATTTGAAGGCATAAATTCTCAGGTCTGAACTCAGAAAGCTCCTTTAAAACAATGCTGTTCTCTTTGTACCTCTTTCTTAACTCTTAAGAGTGTCTCTTTCCTCTAAGATTCAATAATTCAGAATCATAATTTGACTTACCAGTTTCTTGATGAGTTAAAATGCAGTCTTCATTAGTTTGTAAAAACTTTTAAGTTTTCTATTTCAGTATTTCATGACATTAATAAGTTGTGACAATGTATACTTTTTGTTCATTGAAATTTTCTGTAATTTGACCATTTCTCTTGACTTCTGGATGGCCTGGGTTATGCCCCCCTATTCTCCCTCAAACAAACTTTACCCTCCCCCACATACATAGCCTTGTTCCTCTCCAGAGTAATAAATTCAACCGGTTCTTCTGATTTCTTGTTTCTGTGATGAAGAAATAAGATGAAATAAACCTACGGTAAAAGTTCTCATATCTAACATGAATGTAGATTCTGAAGTATTAGCACATTGCCAAGAGATTATAGGAATTCCGTGCATGATTTTGAATGGAAGGAAGAAAATTCAGTGGGGAGGGGAGAGATTTTTTTAAAAAGGAAGATCTATTTGAGAGACTAATACGTGATAGGGAATTAAGTAACCATTCTGTTTTAGGAACAGTTTTCTTTCATTAGGTTAGGAAAAAGGAAGATTTCTTTGAGAGACTAAGTTATAGGGAATTAAGTAATAATTCAGTTTTAGGAAAAGGTTTTATTTTTAGGTTTAGGGAAAGTTGAAGAAGTACCACTATATAGGATACATTTGCATGCACTTTTTATAGGGCAGTGTTTATAGACAGCATCAGTTAAATTCCATTTTTTAAAAAAGAAGGCCTGGTAAATATAAACCTAGGCAGGTTCCCTTAACCTATTTTAGTTTCTATGGTGCTCAGTTTTCTGAGTCTTTCAACAACTTAGAACATTTATGAGCCTCTAGTCAGAGCACTAGTGAAATAGAAAGGTGACAAATACATGACCATTACACAAATGTGTACAGCACGAAGATCCTCTCCACAAGGACTGGTCTCATGAGACAGCAGTTCATGCAAAAGCTAGTCCATCTTTGAGCAAAACTCAAGACAGAAGAAAGGAGAAATAGAGACAAAAACAGGAAAGCATACAAGGGCAGTAGTGATACAAGTACTGGGGACAACAGGACTGTGAAGTTGATCCAGCAACAGTGTAGGCCAGTGGATTCTAAGGGCTCAGCTCTTCAGCAGTGCTTGTCTTCTCTCTGGTGGCACCACAGAGATCAGCACAGCTCCTGACACCAGCTAAGTGTGTAGTCAGAATCTTTGTGTGGTGAACTGAAAGAATGACAGTCTGTTCAAGGGAATAATGTCCGACAGGATGATCAAATATAAACACCATATCCAAAGACCAAGAAAGAATGGAGTCAAGTTTCAGAAGTAACTGGAAGTGGGGTGTATGTGAGCAGAATGTGAAAAATGAAGAGAATCGGGGTGATTTTATAGACACATTTGAGGTACTGAGACATCTCTTTTTAATTGGGGAATATATAGGATATGTTGTGTAGGAAAGGCTGAGTGATCAGCCTGCTTTCATGGAGTCTCTGAGGGGAAAATCCTAAGGCTCATTGTTTTCTCCTTTTAATATTTAAAGTAGGTTGTGTTACGAAATTAACAGAAACATTTGGCTGTTATTCCCATTTTAAGCAATATTAACTTGTTGCTTCTTATAATTGGAAGTGTTACAGAATAAGAAAATGTGTTTCATATATTGCTATACCAAAGCACAGAGGTGGGATAGCTGTCCCTGGGAATAACTATTGGTTAAGCCATAGTGGCAGGGAGCAAACTTAATCTGTACAAATGCTAAATGTATTAAGGTGTACAGGACAAAGCTAGATGCACTTATAAAATTTATACAAAATGACCTCCAGATTTCCTCTTAAAAACAGACAAAATGCAACTACAGACAAATTCAACTACTTCTTGCTAATCAGATAAATTTCAAGTTAATTTCAGTTAAAATGATTCAAGAATAGAAAAAAATTGGCAGATCAGCAAAACAGTTGAGTCATAAATGATAGCTGTTCAGAGTACCCATGCAGCCAGTATCCATTCATATTAGAAACGGAAGTGGCATGGGAGAAGTAATTGGTGCCATGGCCTAGGAATCCAGGAATATCCAAATTTTGCCTCAAGTCAAACAATCTCAGAGGAGATACATCCATGATAACGATGGCAATGAAGAACAAAGCACTTTGAACAACGTGTAATGTGGCCTACATTTGGGAGGCTGAATCAGGAGGACTGCAAGTTTGAGTACTGCCTGGGCAAATTAATGAGACTCTGTCTCAAAATAAAAAGGACTGGGGATGTAGCTCAGTAGGAACATACTGGGTTCAGTCCCTAGCACCATGCACACACACAATAATATAACATAATGTGGTGAGGCCACCCACTTCACAGTGTTACTGGAAGCAAACATACGGCAGCCCTCTTTTAAATAGCTCTGTAGCGACATTCATTTACATTTTTACAGGCCAGCTTTTGGTACAGGTACATATCGTGGTTAGCTCCAAGGGAGACTGGAAAATTTAGTTATTTTTTTTTTAACTGGACACATACCCACTCTGAGTAACATCGGAATTCTATTAATATTGAAGAAAAGAAATATAGATAGTATGTATGTATATTAGTTCATTTTGTTGCTAGGACAAAATACTTAAGGGTGAGTACTCTAAAAAGAAAAGAGTTTTGGAGTCTGGAAACCCAAGTTCAAGAAGCCCCAGCTGGTTTCTGCTGAGGCCCTCACGGTGGGTGGCATCACAGTGGCGGAAGCACATACAGAAGAGATCACATGGTGAGACAAAGCCACAGAGTTCCAGTGACCAGGCTTCCCCTTTTTATAATCCACCCTCATAGAAACTAACCAGCGTCACATGGGAACTACATTGGTCTTTTCCAAGCTGGGT